ATAGTACACGTGTTTTAATATCACGTTTTTAAAATAAATACGTTTTATATTTGTACATTCAATTACTAAAATATTATCAAAATTTCAAATAGTGAATTTTTATATGCGAAAAAATTGTTCAGGTATGCCATATTTATTATTCAATAGCTAATTAAGTGTAATTTACATTTGTAGTATAAATACATTCATTTATTAATTTAATGTTTGATATGAAGCTCGATAACTAACCTAATCAGTTTAAAAAATTTAATTTCGTTAAAAATTGCATGATTTATATGCCACGGAAGCTTAACCGTACGGTACTGCCCCGCCTTCCCCTATATGTACGGTCAATGACGAACATGATGATAGGTATTTACGTTAAAGTTTGGCCAATGTTGAAAAAGACCTTGTAAAATACAAATTTACGTAAATGGCCGGTAATTTACGTAAGTGACGACACATAATGGTTAATGTTGTAACGCGAGTATTATTTTACTATTAACGTCAATTCTCAATTCCTGTTGGACGTTGTTGTAAATCATACATTAATTATATAATTTTATAACATACAGGTCACTGTCAGTTATCTACCCATAGCTGATGGAGWGATTATATGATAAATGATATATCTGGTTGTTATGAAATAGATGTCAGTAACAAGATTAAAATATAATTGGAGAATACTTACTACACTATAGCTTAGGTAGGTGATATTTATTTTATACTAGCATTTTCCTCCCCATTTTAAAAGACTTAGAAGTTAGAACTGTATATGATCTATTTACATAAAAAGGCTTTGCCCCTACTCCAACATAACAATAATGCTATTTTTATGTATACCACAGAAAAGCAAATTTATATTGAAAATCTTTAGCACATTAAATTTTAATAGCAAATTGTTTATCCGTAATAATATGTATGAAAGACGTAGTATAATAYATTTTGAAATTTTAAATTAAAACAGTTATATTTTTTGGTTAACTACTTGTAGAAATTTTGGTCCAGTAGTGTAGCCATGGAGCTGAGAGCCASTGCAGCCCTCATAAATATTGAGAAAGTTAAAAAATTATTTTAATAGTCTATGAAAATCGTYAAAAAAGTCTTAAATTGTATTTAAAATATAAAAAGAAAATTCACTGCTATTATTAYTATTTTTTTCTGCATGTTAAGCTTATGAAAGAACCTAGGTAAACCACCGCTCTGTAAAAATTGATCAGCCCCCACACTTCCAAAGAAAAATCCTAGCTACGCCACTGTGCCTTGTTCTAAATTTTCAATCCTTAGCTATAAAAATTAAACATTTTTAAAATGTTGACTACAAAATTTAAATAATTTGAATATTTTTGAGATGAATTTTTTCGAAATTTAAACTTTATTAATGTTTGAGAAAATGTTTAAGCTAAAAAACTCAATGAAATTTTTATCAATATTTATATTTAAATTAAATGTCTATAAATAGCTCAAAATGTTTTGAAAATTTTATCATCTTTAAAAAATCATGAAATAAACAATTGATGAAAATATATTTATGGTGATAAGTTTTCGAGTTACACATAAAAAAACAAATTGGTATTGTTGCAGAAAACTGGTTTTGCATAAAAATTTCAGTTATTCTTAAATTTCAGATTCTGAACTTAGTGATGATGAATGTATTGACTTTACAATGATGTGTATTTTTTTTTATCATTTTCTGTGTGTGTACATGATAACAGTAGTCGAAATATAATGCTTTGATTTTCAACTTCAGTATCTTTTCCGATGGGTAAGTAATCTAGTTAATGCACTTGGTAAGTCCAATAATCTAAATCAGTGGCGCCCTGCAGACAGGTTAGCAAAGAATGCAACTGCATGTGTTCTCGAGCGGGGCGGGTGTGTACTACTGCAGCTTTCACAGGGAAATTAAAAAATGTATAACATACATATAAACTATAGTCTATACTAATTGATTTCTTTGAATTACAGTGAATAATAAGTGAAAATATTTGTTATAAATAAAAAATTGGGTGGGTGGGTGACTAACTTTTTTTAACTGCATGATGTGCTCTTAAAATACCTCTGTGCGCCACTGATCCAAATTAGGAAAAAGTTTAGTGGTGGTTTCCAAAAACACCACGGAAAACAGTAAAATAATTTCGAGAAAACGGGAATTTTCACACAAAAATGGTTTTCGACGAAATCAATTTTGGTTTTTGGTGTAACTCTTACTATTGTTTTATTTCTCGAATAAATGAATGGCAGATAAAAGCGCCCTCGATAAAATTAAAAATATTATTTTTTAATGTTTTTAGAGGTTCTACTTTTTTTCATAAAAATCGTGTRGTTTATGTTGATGTAGTTTTTTTGTCATGTTATGTGCCCTCATTTTTATGTAGCATACTATGAATACTATACAGAAAACACATTGTGGACTCAGTGCCAGCAGTAGTCATTGGCGCCCTGGGCGAGTAAACAAATATGCGCSCTCCCCATTTAAATAGTAGWAGTTTTATTTTTAATTAAAAATTCAAGTGCCATGATTTTATGCCTTTATGGTTTCTTTACTTACGTCATCAATTCATATTTAAAAAACATCATTTATGCTTATTGTACTACTTATAAATAAACATATATTGCATTATTTCATATAAAAAAAATTCATATCATATTACAATTAACATTTAGTTATTTATTTATATTAATTTTAATAAAATAAAGAAGATTCTAAACCTTGATTGTTTTAAGTTTTAACATTATATATTATTGAGACGCCCCCTTTTCAACAAGCACCCTGGGCGTAGGCCCAGGTCACCCACCTCTAACGCCGGCCCTGATTGTGGTCGTAGATGTTCTTCGTCTCTGTTCCACGAAAATCCAATTTGAAAATATTTAGAACAATATTTTCCGGTTGAAATTTTATTTTTGTTTTGTTTTGTCTATATTATATTATAGTCTATAGTGCCTACAGAACTCAATCTTTGTACTTAAACTTTTTATAAAGACGAAAACACATGGTAATATTTAATCATATTATAATTTATATTTCAAAAATAATCGTCACGGACATAAAAAAAAGAGAAAAAAGAAATCATATAATATTATATTTATAACGATATAATGAAAAATGAGATCCTCGAAAATCAATATATTATAATAAAATATAAAGGTACACCCATCATGCATAGTTCAAATGACCTCATCGGCGATGGTACTCCCCTTACGGTAACCTCCGGTGTCATAACCGCTGTCAGACTTCTTCCGCAGGAACTCGTCGCTTATTTGCTTAATGGTTTTGCCCCGGGTATCCGGTACGATCACCGCGACGAACACTAGCGTAAGCAGCGCCAGGGCCCCGTACAGCGCGAACACGCCCGGGCCCAGCCATATGCGCAGATACGGGTACGACTTGATGGCAATGAAGTTGAATACAGACGACATGCACGCGACGATAGAACCGGCCACACCTGCCACGTCAGTGGGGAACACTTCGCCGAGCATAGCATACGGTATGGGCCGAAGTCCCAGYCCGTTCATGGCCATGTTGAGCAGTACACAACCGATGACCACCACATTATTAACGAACGAATCACCGCCGCTATAGCATTGCAGAAACCCGGCTAGCAGCATCATGGAAGCGGCGTAGCCAGCGCATGACACATAGGACAGCTGCTTGAAACCGGACTGGGTGAGTAGTACAGACAGCATGACCATAGCCGCCAGGTTGGTGAACCCCGCCAGCAGTGTCACCACGTAATTGTCTACGGTCACGTCGAGGCCGCCGAGTAGCTGAACCATGTACGCGGTTAGCACAAACGAACCACACGCCTGCTGGAAGAACAGGAACGTCGTCATTATCGCCATTGGCTTGTAAACGTCCGGCTCGGATAGCCTGTCCACGATCCGGGACCTGACGCGCACCGTGGTGGCAGTATCTCCGTCTAGTGACATTGCCCGAGACGTTTGCAGTATGGGCTGGGCAATACGTAAAACCCGCTGAGAGAACTCTGCGTCACCGCGGCGGCCCTGTCCAAACAGCCACGGTGGACTTTCGGGAATGAGCAGGCCAATGAATATGAATGCGGCAAACGACACAAACGCCGCCACGTAAGCAACCACGTACGCGGGCATTAGCGCGCCCAACAGGTACGTGAGGAACATGCCGAAGTTGAGCATGATGGACGTCATTATYGTGAAGCATCCACGTAGCCCGGTGTAATTGACCGTGATGCACTCAGCCGCGTAAACTGTGGCCGGGGTTGTAGACAAGCCCACTGACATGCCCACCAGCAGTTGGCCTGTATACAGCACATACAGGCTGGCCGGCTGCCTGGACAACAACAGCCATCCCAGACAAGACGGCAGGTTGGTCACCATAAGCGCCGTCTTACGGCCGAGCTTATCGATCATCGGCCCGCTTAACAGGCAACCGATTGGCATCATCGTAGATGGTAGACTAGCTACACCGGAAAAAATAAAACTTTGAGTTATACTTTTTATACAGTACGCCTAATCCCATTCTTGTTTGTGATTGCATTTTTAAGCGTTTACTATATAATATGGTAAACTAATTACCACGTACCTTCAAAAAAATTAAGTAAAATTAAAAAATTAAAATTAAAATAAATACCAAACCATGATTGTTCATTAACTGTTAACTCCAATTGATCCAAAACAATAGCAGAATATCCAAAACTCATGCCCGGCGCCAAACATGGCATTGTTACTACCAATGCCAGCCATAACTGAAACGAAACAATAAATTAGTTATCATTAAGAATACTTTTTGTTAAATTATACACACACATATATATTTATTTATTATTGTATAAAAATGAAAATCACAAATTTTTTAAGCATCTAATCAATTATATTTTTATTTTATAAAAAAAATTATTTAATCTATAATTTTATTATACTAACCACTCGGCTTATTGTACTTGCATAATGCAAATTATKTGGTTTACTTGAGTAATTTGTGTACACATGACTAGTTATTAAGTCAGTTTTTTCATTTGGCTCCATGTATTTTGATGGTAGAATCGATTTTAAAAAGTTAGTCAGAGTCTGAAAATGTAATATAGTTTTGTTAATATTTATTACATAGGTACTATAATTGTAGGATTGTATTTTTTAGATACATTTGTTTTTTGTACGGATATGTTTTAGATGTTTTGGTAATAGTATGAATTATATAGGCACGCGTACACGGAAAACAATATTTTAAATTTTCAATCATATAATATATATATAAAGTATAATGTATATGATTTATAGTTTTATTATATTACATTCTTTGTATATTTTATAAACTATACCTATAGGCTATAGTATAGTCAGTATAGGTAGTAAGTACAGTATTAGATAAATAAGTAGTTATTTTAAAATGTAATGAAGTTACTTAACTCATTAGATACATACTCAAATGTCTCTAATCAAATAAAGTAATATTTTATTAATTGGATACTTAGTGTTCAATGATAAAACAATTTTAGTAAAAAAAAAAATGAATATGATATTATAATTTAAATAAAATTTATCTAGATAGGTAGGTAAATATGTCATATAAGATAACCAATGCCCAATAGATAAATCATAAATGTCATAATAGCTACCTAGTACCTAGATAAGATAATAGATATTTTTTACCTAGCTATAATAAGTCTCAATACTGGTCTAGACTCTAGAGAGATCGATTATAAAACGGATGTGTGAAATTTCAATTCAATGATATGAAATCATTGTAAACCTACGAAAAACTATTCTGAGCAAAAACAGTATGTCAATTGTCAGCTAATTTTATTTTATAATATCTTTATAATTACATAGCCTTATGATAATATTGTAAAAATATAAAATGGGCTTATGAATATATTCATGTTATTGTATCAGTATCCATCATTATAGTTTTAGTTGTGAATATTTATAGCCGCTAAGCTATATTAAATTATCACACTTAATCAAATACAAACAATTATAAAAAAATTATATAGGTACTAATGAATTTAAGAAATGACTTGGCCCCTTTTGAAATCACAAATTTTCTAATTTATGTTTTTTTCTTAGCGTGTTTTTTACATGTATAGACGCGTATTGTCGATGATCAATGTCTGAGTAAATGCGGACCACTATTAAAAATAATAGTATAATAAATAATATTATATGTAAAATATATGTTGTTACGTGAAATATTGTATTTTTTGAAACACAGTATTTCATGAAATGTTATACCTAATGGTGTAATATTTTTATTAATACCTACTTACTATACTTACTAATTAGCCACCATATAATAATATTAAAATATAATATATATTATAGTGTTATGTACTTATGTTATTGGTATTTGGTACATCTAGGGTTCTAAAATTTTATTGAAATATTTTTTACATACTTAGTACATTATACAAATTACATAAAATTCATATATATACTTAAAAAAGTTTCAAAACACATGAATTACCTATTTACTTATATCAATTTCTTAATTCATGTTTATTTAAAATTGTATAATTAATAATTAGATATAGGTATAACCAGAGTACCCATTATAACATTATTATGATTATTGTTAATTCTGTGATTATAATAATCTATGAGTTAAAAACTTAAAACCTTATTTAGTATTCCTATTTAAATAAAAATTTTATATTTATTAAATCCTTAGTATAATAGTATTATTATAATTTATAATTTACAGCCTATAGGACTTATATAAATAATATAATATAATATTTGTATGTTAATATATTATAAATATAGCATTATAAATTAACATTATAATTTATAAACATCAAAGAAAAACATAATTTGTGAACCGATAATCATTAATTAGCTAT